TGCCATTTGTGCTGTCTTTTCGTTTGTCTTCTTTCTAATATGTCGTCGTTTATGCCATAAATTAACAGCAATTCATCACACATTTGACGACACCAATAGTAATGAAACACGAAAAGTGGAACACACTCAACAATTAACTATCATTTGTACTTCGTTAACCGATGCAGATGTCGAACGTTGGAAACGAACAAACATATGGATTAGTTGTTTGCATGCCTTTATCACCGGCGTTCTGGCTGTCTACAGCTGTTGGGCCTATTCACCAGACATCCACCGTGATTATGTCAATCACATCTCTTGGGTCACCTATTTGACTTGTTCCTTTTCTTTCGGTCGGAAATCTAGATATTCATGAGGCATGATGTGATTTTTTTTCCATCTGTTTAGGCTATTTTTGGTACGACTTTGTTGATATTATCTCGAATCTACGGGGATCCGATCTGTGGGAATTGACACTTCATCATGTTATCGTAAGTTTTTGACTCTTTCCAATGTTGCAAGTTAATGAAGAATAAAAATCTCATATGTGATTGAATTTTAATTTTTCTATTGAGGTAATTTTATTTAGATGATCATTGTTTTCGGCATAAATATCTTTCGTCTGCTGAATATTGGTTATCAAACGATGGCACTCATTGCTGAAGTCAATTCGGTCTTTTTACATTTGCGAAAACTATTCCACCTATACAACATTCCACGCGAACATCCTATTGTTCGATTGAATATGATTCTCAATCTGATTACATTTTTTATGTTTCGTTTGGCACTATTAACCTATCTTACTATTTCTATCTTTCATGACAGACAACGAACTGACGTTCATTACTATAAGTTCATCATGTATTTTTCTGTACCCGTTATGTGGATCATAAATTCTATCCTTTTCTATCGTCTATTGTACACAGATTTTCTGAAACGGTTAAAACCACGTAAATTAAATGACTAATTGTTATATTAGTTCTATACTGTAAACTTCAGTTTCGAATCTTCTTTAGTACTCAATCATATTCTGGATTTATTTTCTCTTTTTTTCTCAAATCGGCATCTAACAAATGTTATTTCTGCAATTTTTCTTATGGTGCAATTGCTTTCTTCTGTCTTGTTGAATAGAAACTTTACTCTCGTGTTTTTATTGAGTATAATACAGTATACATATAGAATTATTCATCTAACTTCAATCAAAAACAAGTCAAAAAGGATCAAGTAAAGTGCTAGTCGATATATTTGAGAGAAGCTACAATGAATTCCAAAATCGAACGAGGAGGACGGCAGCTGGAATAACTCGGGAACGCGAAGACATGTTGCAAAAAGATTTTCACCAATATGTAGCAAAGTCCATATAATGTTGCGTCATATCAGGACAGTTTCTCTCTATCAGGTTTCATGATAGTTTTCAGGCGAATCTTTAGAAAACGTTCATGATATTCAGAGATCCATCATTGGATAGGTGGACTGATGAATGTGATTGAGGATAGTCATTTTACGGTGGGTGGATGAGTGGGAATGATATGAGTGACTGGTCATAGATCTTTTATTCACTCATTCAGCCCAGAATTTCGTACCAGATTCATGAGAACTTCTGCGGGTTTCGTTGAACATCACGACTTGCATATCCTTCAAAATTCAATGCGCAACATTGAAGAAGAATCTGAGAAAATATCTCGATATGAGTAGTGTGATGGAGAGAAAAAATATCTTGCGTTCACGTATTATTTTCATAATGGATCAAAGTTTAAATCGAATCGTATCAGTTGATCGAGGAGGTGGATGTAAATATTCTCTCTGTCCACAGGTACACCTATTCAAAACTGGAAGGAATATTCAGAAAACGCGACTAAGCCTCATCTTCTTTGATTAGTCTCAAGTACCAGAATAATAATCAGTTTTTTACATGGAATGTCGTTGTGAATATAGTTCCAGTTGACAGGAGACGAATGAGGTCCAGCAAAAATCTCCAAAACTCGATGCAACTTGCACGCAGTATTATAGATCAGAATGTGTTCCAATTTGCGCTCTGATCTACAATCAAGCCTCTTGTGGTTGACGATAGGAGCGAGCGAAAATCACTAGAGAGATCCAGTAGCATCCCGATTCAGAATACTGCGTCCAAGTTTCATCGATTTCTGAAGTTTTCTTGGCGAACACGATGATTTTTCCGCAAATTTTTTAGCAGTTTTGGCGAAGTCCACTAACTTCTGGTGGTCACAGTCATCGACCTGTGGGTGGCGTCTTGCATGTGTGCTGATGGATTCAGTCTTTTTTCCAATATTTTCGGTATTCGACATGACCAATCTAAACTCTAGTACTTTTTATATGAATGTTTGGTCAGATGCGATGAGTTTCTGGCTTATTCACGATTGTTTCTTTTCGTTTTCCTTCTGAACTGACCAAGTTTTTTCCCAGTTCCATCCACCGAGTGTTGAAAAAACGCGATTTTTTGTACAGTGCTTTTGCAGTTTGAAATACTGCTTCGAACTTTCTACGATTTTTTAGATGATTTCTGTGAGAAGATTATCGAAACTGACCGGAAATACGCGGGAATGACATTGTTTCTAAAGAGATTTGGCCAGATTCCGAAGACAGAATCACCAGTCCGAGCTATTACTTTCATTCATTTGTTCTTCGACATCCATGTGTTTTTTAACTGTTGTACTTTTTCTTCGATGCGTCATTCGGTCACTCACTCCTTCAAAGTCCCACATTTTTCTCAATCGATTATCTTTCATTTTTTCTTGAGTGCCATCATTCATTTCTTATTCATGATTTCTTCAATAAATCGTTGAATCTGCATGCGCTCTCAATCCATCTCACTAAAGTTTGATTACCTAGACTCTCATAATGACATCTGGAATTTTATTCAGCTGCATCTCAAGGAATTCAAGATTAAAAAAAACCGAAGGACTATTCTTTGTTAAAAATAGCATTTTTCATCATTTCTCTTAGAAAATAATTCCAATAGAATGAGAAAATTTTTATTGAAGGTCTTAACCGTATGTATTCGATTTATTGTGAAAAATGAGAAAACTACTTGAGAAATGGGTGAACCATATTGCAAAAATAAATATATTCTGGTTGTTTTTCATCTACAAAACAGAATGCCAAAAAACAAGCATCGATTCAAGTTTATTTCAAGATCTTTTTTTCGTCGCCAATCGACATACATACATGTTGCATAACAGCGTAATAGAGGTGAAGCACAATTCAGACATATGTAATTCTTCTTGTCGTTTAGAGATTTTTGCGTTTATTATTTGTTGCGATGGATGAATCAATACAACTTGTCGGTATCGAATGAGGCATCCGACGCTAGTGTTGTAAAACAGAAAAAAGAACAATTTATACAAACAAATTTCGCAAGCGACATTCAGTTGATTGGTGAGAAATACTTTTCAACTGCATTGAATACAAATTTCTAAACTAAACAATGTATACTCTCTATTGTAGAAAGTCTTTTCTCTACAATTCTATGATCTATGATGAGAAATTTGTTTTTCATAGAAATTTATACATAAGAATCTGACCTTGCCAATAACGGGAATCAAAACTAAAAGGTCTTGAATTAGGTAGAGACATTGCTCTGAGCGAAGTTAGAAAACGAGCGTATGACTACAAAGCACTGCATCATTGAAATGAAGTAAATGTGTTTTTGCACATCATCCTTTAATAGGCTTGCTTATTTTATGAACGTTCTATTGAATATATAGATGCAATTCATTCGTATTTTGAAAATGATAACATCTATTTATAGATATACTTTGATTAATAAATATATTGAAATTTGCAATCAAGTACAACACAAAATCATGTGTACGTCGATAGACTGCAAAATATTGACAATAATACGTTCACTATTGATCGTCCTCATGATTGGAAAAAATATCATAGTTGCCAACAATTAGTCAGGTTATGATTCTACTTGCACTTGTGATTCAATGTCTTCAAATGTCTGCATGAAATATACTTGCTCAACGACAGTTAGAAGGACTGCCTGTTTTCCAGGTTCTAGTCAAGTTACTCTTGTTGATGGCACATTCAAAGCACTATCTAACATTCAGATTAGTGATAAAGTACTTGTTAATAAACATAATATCTGTGAACTTATCATCTCATTCATACATACAAAACAAGAAGGTCTATTTGTCTTCTTAGCAATCAAAATACAATCAGTTATGTCTAATTTGTCTTCTACTCTTTTTGTTTCTGCTAATCATTTATTTTCGATTTTGATTCTGGTGAAGCAAGATTTGCTGGAAAGTTTCATGTTGATGATCGAGTACAAGTTGTCTTATCTACTCTGTTTGACGACTCCACTAATCCGTTGTATTCGTCATTGCTTCTTTAGTTTTGTTTGAGTAGCAAGTTTAATCATTTGTATTTTCTTTAAAATATTTTCTCTTTGTTTATTTGATATCAAGACATGCACACATGTTTGTTGTTGATTTTATAAACGTAATTAACTATGATTATGATTAAATCAATGAATAATTTTCCAAAAAATGATGAACAACACAGATCATAGTATCTAGTATCATTAGCATATTAGATACGAACTTATTGACGTCAAATCTAAGTTCATGATTTGGCACTGTCGTTATTTAGAAAGATAGAGAAGAAATTTCTAAATTATTTCAGGTGCAAAATAAGACAAAACTTTATGAGGTAATATCATAATACTTTGTTACATAGTTCATTAATCGGACACAAAATTTTCTTGCCAAAAAATCTAGAATACTGTGACTTCTGTTATTCACTTCTCGAAAATATATTGGCAATCAAAAACTATTAACATTCTAGAACTAACAAATTTCAATGTATTCAAAAGTGTAATCGTTCAACAAAATCTTCAGCGTCATTTAAAATGTTCAAATATTTAAAGAAACTCTCGGAATGAATAGATATGTAACATTTTTTGTCTTATATTTACGTTCTGCGAGTTTTCTATGTTAATAATTGTATAGTAAAATTAAGCATATTTTTAGCATCAAACAACATAAAAAATGTCACAATGCTAGTGAAATAAATGATCCCAGAAGTTGCTCAGCAAATGTTTTTGCCTTGTCAAGAATCTCATCTACGTTATCACCTTGTTCAATGACCCGATTATTATCGTCGTTATCATAAGTATCTTCATCGACAGGATGATAATCAACTGAATCATCGTTATCCCAATAGTCTTGACCAAAATCATCACTTGCTAATTGACGAACAGTCCATGCGTCAAAACAAAGATCTGGATTTGTCATATAGGCATATGGGATATAACAGTAGCCATAATCTCCCTGAAAAAAACAACAGTTGTTTCGATATTTCTAACGGAGACAATTGTTTTCTCATACCCAATATTTTCCCCAAGAATTTCGAACAATAAATGAACTTGATTGATCACTGTAACCGACAGCGAGAAGAGCATGACTAAATTAAATTAAAAAAATAGTATCAATTATGAGGACAAGTTTAGAATTCTCCTGAAAAAATAATACATTGTTCAAATAAGATAAAGTGCAACTTTTTTCCTTTAAATCATTGATTTGATTAACTAAATCAATGACAATAGGAAGATTGAATATACTATGGGCTCTTTAATCGATGATAGTTTCCAACGATTAAAAATCAGTATCAAGGCAAGATGGATGTGTGGATGTGGATCTTCTTTACATTCACACTCATGCCTCTGTAAAAAATCTGATGCTTTTATAACAATCGTAAAAATCATAGTCCCATGCTCTTCTTTCAAACTTTATCGCAAACAAACTAACTTGGACAAATGTCATGTTCTTCTAAACAACATGAGGCAATATTTGTCATTTTTAACAGAATGTATTGCTGGAGCTCTATAATGCTAATTTATGACGTATTCATGTCTTTATAGGAAATACTTTGATATCGATGAGTTATAGATTTTCTAATTGATAGTAACAACAGTAAATATATACTTTGACATGTACTGTTTAATAATAAAACTTGTAAAAACACTATAAACTATTAGAAGACGTAGTTCGAAACACTTATTAGCTTTCACAGTTAATCGATGTCAAATGTACTTGAACATAAAGTATTGAAGAAAAACTAAACACTTCCGATGGCAATTTTTGTTGATGATTTAAGAAGAAACTTCGAGATATTTAAAATCTTTTCGACTAAGAATACGATGGTAAGAGAGAACATGACTACAATTAAAATATCCTTAGTAGATTTGGATGCAACTTGTATCTAACAAAGGTAATGAATTTTCCAAGTTATAAAAAAGATATCCTAGTTTGCTTCTAAATCTTGATTTTCTCGAAGAAGTCAAGTTGTATAGGACTGAAATTTTTACAGTATGTATCCAAAGCAGTAGTTTGTTTCAATTCAATATGATAGGAATTTAGGAAGCAAGAAAACTTTTCTTCCTTATCTTTTAGCTCTCATGTTTCACTGCTAAATAGCTAGAAGTTCGTTTCAGCAAATTTTTTCACTTTATTAATGGTCAAATCGAGACTCTACGTTATAAACATTGGAACTTCTTTTCTCTTCATTTCATTGAAGTGACAAAATAATTTAAATACTAAGATGTTGTCTCTTTCTTCTCATACTTATGCCTGAATATCTAATACAAAACCGACGAAAATAAGCAGACAGATCAGTTTTTCATTCTTTGCACACACATGAACATCTATTGAGAGAGCACTTCGACAACTGAAGATGCTACTGAATATTTAGACCCATGTCTAAACTAACTCGAAGGACAACCTATAGGTGAATACTTGATCTGCAAGTATTCAATAACTGAGTGCCTAAAGCTGACTTCAATAATTGTATTTAACTTTGATTATGAAACAACTAGTAGTGCAACATGACAAGCTACAAGATTTAGAAGAAAAATTTTCAACATTTATTTTATCTCACTAAATCTTTACTCTTTTGAGCTGGGATTTTCAGCTGATCGAGATCGTAATTTGAAATAATCATTGTAAAAATTTTCAGTCCAAAACATCTTGCTTTTTTCTCTAACCAACTAAGAAAATTCATAACTTTTGCTAGAAACAAGTTGCACTCAAATCAACTAATGAGGAAAGATTCCCAAGTAGTCCTCTGCGTTTGCTCCCCATATTTTGTCAATATGTAGGAGATCACTAGAGTTACATAACCTCCTGCAGGAGGGATCTACTAAAAAGCTACTATTTTGACCAAAGTTAAGCATGAACAGAATATCTTCGAAGGTTACGCTACTCTGATGACTTCCTACATATGCTAGGTGACTAATATATAATGCTCACACACATACTAGCCATGTGATTCTCGGCCTTGTTCATCCTCGCTTGGCATTGGTACAACACCTGATTTGGCTGCTTTGTCAAATGATGTAAATAATTTTAAACCAAAAGCAAATGGAAAGCCTTGTGCTAAGCAAGATTTCATTTGATGTAAATCTATCTCAACTTTTAAAGCTTCTGTAATTTTGAATTCATTAGCTGCTCGATAGGCTTGTTGATTAGGACGTTCATTGACCATTGAAGTTTCATAAGGCCATATCGATTCCAGACAAACTCCATATTGTTCTAATGTTTCAATTGCTTCTGTCATTGAGCAACCCGAATCAGTAAGATAACCTGATTGGTTATTGTATGCACGAGCATTATAATATATAAAGAGACGACTTACATCGATTTCATAACCATTTGCTTTCTTTACTAAATGTTCATAGGCTCCTAGAAGAAACATAAGATTAAAATTTCTTTGAAAAATTCTTTAATCTCACCAGCAAGAGTATTTGCCACACTGAAAAAAAAATTATTTAAAATAAAAAAGATTTAATTTACAAAAAACATATTCAAACTTTTAAATTACCAACTGCCAATTTTCGATTGATCTTCGACAGGTGTCATGGCCGCTCGAAAATCAACTTTCGGTGGTAATTGATCACTACTATAGAGAATATGATCCGAAAATGATTGACATAATTCTGGCTTGTTCGGCATAGAAGCTGATTCTAATATTCCATTCAGACGACATACTCGAGATTCATTAACATTTAATAAAAAAGATTGTCGTGGCATTTTGATACTTTTTCTATTAGATGCAATTATAAATTAGTTCATCTATAACATCATTGTTCAATTAATAATGGCATAAATTTTTATTCGGCAAAAAAAAATTTCTCGTATCATTCTATTAGCTCTTAAAATTGAACGGTAATAAAATCTATGTGTCGATTATCGTAATTACTATAACATTCAAGACTAGATTCAATATATGAACAATTATTCTAATAATTTTTTATTTTCCTCGTGTATGCAACAAAAAAAAAGCAAACAGATGCTTAAATATTGTTGAAGATTTCATTAAACAGAATAATTTGATTATTAATATACTCACATCTCTAGTTTTATTTATTGCTAAATATATTGGAACTTCCAACGTCATCTCAATTTTTTCTTCAAGCATGACGTACAATTTTCTATATTCTAAAAATTTGTACTTGGCAGTAAATAAATAAATGTCGATTAATTCTAGTCGTTCACTTTCTTGAAATGAAACGTGTTCTGAGACCGAATAATGTGAATTTTTTTTCCACCATTCTCTTTGAGTATTGCGCACAAACGTTATGGCATGCATGTAAGCAAGAAAGCAGTCTATACACAGCTAGTAGAGCGATCGTTTCTTCAATAGAAAGATGTTGAAGGACGTATAAAACACTTCAAGTTACCGTAGTGAAGGAGAAAACGTTGCGTGTATTGCTACTTACAAACATCCAATCTTGCTTAAAACATTGTTTGTTGTGCGTCGTTAAGAATAAAATAAACATCGTTCATTATATATTATAACATGAATTATGGACAGCTTAAACGATCTCATGAAATAGCGACAAAACTTGCATGTGATTATTTTTGAAAATAATGTATTTAGTTATATAAATTAATTGATTATTACTTATAAAATATCTGTAATTTATTAGTTATTATAAACATCTACTAATTGCTAATTCAGATCTGAAAATACAAAGTTATGTTTTCTAGAAAGACAAAAGTCCTATGAAATTTCAATCTAATTTCTATCATTGACTAGTTACTCAATAGAAAACAAAAAAGAACTTTCATCTTCCACCTACATAAATATTGTCGCATTATAAGTTGAAAGACTACGGCAAGTCAAGTGAAGATTAATCCTTTTCAACAAAAAAGAGACTTTGATACGGATAAGCAATGGATTACTAGAAAATCATCAAGAGTTTATCAAGTAACAAATAATCAGTAACATTCGTCCATCTCCATTTGTAGCAACAGAATTACTATCGATAAACCTCCGCCACCAATCAATATTTTTCTATTTTGCACAATAAAAACAAATAATCAATCTGTAGATAAAAAAAAACAAGTAATTTAATTTGAACTTACTATAAAACAAAATTGTAGTGCGCTAGCGAAAAGTATTCAGTTATAAGGGTGATCGTCGTATAAAAAGTTATTTTATTCTTGAACGAAAATGTAATTCAAAAAAAAATAAATCATATCTTCTAGAAACAGTCGTCCAAATATCGTCTAAACAAATAGTTTCACAATTTGGATTGATACTAATTAATGAAAATCAACTAGAATTCAATTATTGACACTAATTGCAACTAATAAATTATTCTATATCTGAAGTTTCGAGTACTCGTGCATCAAAACATCTATCAAACGAACACTTTGTTAAGGTATATAGACGTAAATGAAAAAAATTCTTTGATATACTCAACTGTTCGAATACATGTAAAACATACATAAATAAATGATTTACTCTATGTAATTCTTTTCAGATTCATTTTAATAATATACACATCTTGATATATATGAATCTTACTAGAGTAGAACAAATTCATGACTAAAGATATAATGTTGATAGATTTGAACTGAAAAAACCAATTCAAACACATGTCTAAGATATTATCATCAATAGATGATGTACTATCTCACTGCTAATGAGTTTACTCATTGTCTTTTGATCACTTGTCTAGTCCTTCTGGTCACACATGGTTTACCATTTTGTGAGTCTCGTATTTTACATCAACTTCTATTGCATTTCAGTTGTTATTTGTAATCGGTCAAAAGAACGTCTTTCTCTTTCTCTAATTAATAATCATAACTTTCACCTACATTTTTTTGTAGCAATAACTATTACTATTACTACGCTCTGTTGTGAACTTCTCACCTTCGGTTCGTTTCTTTTTTGTTATTAACAACATAATACCTTTTTATAAGAATGAACATCATCGTCTCCATTCAATGATTTTAGTTAGATGGTTTCTATGAAATGAAAAATCTTTAATCCTATACAGAGCAGAGTCTTAAATTATTATCTTCGAACCTACGTGATTAGCATAGACAGAAGTATTAGAGGATTATAAAATGAGATCCTTCACATAAGCGAAATAACACTATTTTAGATATGTCGACATGAAAGAATCAATACGACTATCAGTATTTAGTATCGATAAAGCATCAGAAAATGTTTTTTTTAATTTTAGATATGAAGCTTGAATTTTTCGCTATAAAAAATATTAGACAAAATAAAAATATTCTAACTAATGAATTCACATCACTTCACTGTTATCTGTCAATGTACTGTTAATGACATTTGAGAAATCTGTAATCGAGCATTTGAAAAAGAAATATTAAAATTAAAATTTTTCAATATGATGGAATATTTTAGGTGAAAAAAAAATAGAAACAACAAATGAGATTAGATAGATGTTTGTTTTTGAAAGAAAGATTTGAGATAACTTTAAACACTGAGAGAATAATCGTGTTCTCATAATGAACATAACTTCTCACGTACTTACTAGAGTTTGGACAGTAATATGTGAAGCATTCATATTTGTCATTCCGTCGTTTAGATGAAATATATTAATTGCTAACAGTGTTTTTATCAGAAACATTCAAATCATGAAAAATGCTTGATTAATCGCCAAAAAAAACGGCTTAAAATTGCAAAAGTTTCAACAGTTTGAAGGCTTTAAATGTCAAAAAAGTATCCAACAACTACCAATTCTAACTGTTGTTCCTGCTTTTGTTTGACAGTTTACATATTAAGATGTTTAAACGCTGTTTCAATCGTTGCCTTATCTACATGGGTCGTTAATTCTCTTGATATTAATGATTACTCTTCAGAATGTAAAAGTTCAAGTCTTTTAAAACAGCAAATTCAGCTGCACATTGCAAACTAGCCAAATTATGAAACATCAATCGCTTTGATTCTGAGCACAATGAAGTAATCACAGATTGTATTCTACAGTACGTCACCATTCATTACCTTTTGTGCCTGCAAAAATCTTTTATAACTTTGCAAGAAAAACCATATAATGATGATTGAAATGATCTGAATTTGAAGATCTTTTCTTCAAACGAAATGATTTTATGACCACTTAGTCAGTGAACGATATAAAGTTAAAAGTTATTTAAATATTTGAAATAGGAAATCGATAGCTCAAGTATATAAAAGCTAAAATTTCTAGTAATTTTTGAAAACATTTTAGCATTTGATATACACATTCGTCTCTTGTGCATTAGTCATCAAGTATATCACATAACAGCCATTACAAATAGATTTTTGTGAGAGTGTTTTTCTCATTGTATTCGAGCGAAAAAGTCACGAAAACAAGAATACAGCATCAGAAACGATAGAAGAAAAGTTTCTATTCATAATTGTTTTTACTTTTATGCGAACTGAGATGTGGATATTGGTTAACGGAAAACATACACTGACATCCTACCTGTCATCTCTTCCTCATTAGTTTATAATTATTTATTAGAATGAAACATGCACAATAATTCTTTAATACAAGTATCTATCAATGGCGAAACTTATATACATTCAATGCATGAGAGCGTCAATTAATCAAAGTATAGAATTCTTTAATCAGATCTATAGAATTGACAACTCGAATGAACAATATATTGAAGATCTTTGTTTTTCATGTGATACAGGAAATCATTTTTTCCTCTAAGAAGAACCCTCGAAATTACAAATAATCATCAATTTATCAACATTATTTTAAAAAACCTTCTAAAACTTTGCAATTGATTACCTATAATTGGGAAACTATATGATTTTTGTAAACTCAATCAAAATGAATCATTGTATTTTGTTTCTTTGTTAGTACTGCATTAATTTTCAATTTTTATTTACGATTCACATATTGAAATAATTTAACTCAAAATTATTAAAGAGAAAGAGTCATTGATTTCAGTCATGATTGGAAATCTTACTATTGAAATTAGTTTACAGAAGTGCAAATAGCTTTTTTCCTAATAATCATAAAGGTACGCATGATATTCAAAAGAATTTTTTTTAAATTTTGTACAGTTAATTTAAACAAACTGAAGTCGTTGATTTCGAGCTCGGGAATCGAGCGTATTTCACTGAAACCAGCCGAGAAAATGTAAAAAAATCATCGTATTCGGATGATTAGCCGAAAAAATCTGGAGACTTCTCGGTGTTGAATAGTACTTCTAAGTTTCATCAATTACTCATGTATTTCTGTCGGCATCGTCCTGATCTGATTGATCTGGGCAAATTTTTTAATTTATCAAAACATTTTAAGTTCATCACTTTATTTCGTACTGAAATGTCATAATGACTTTGTACATTATTTATTTTGCACTTATATTAATTTGAAATCCAAGAAAATTATTTGGTTTTCAGAACAATCTTTGATTTATCTTGATTCTTCTTGAGGTAATAATTATTTTTCTTTTGCATTTGATATTAGAATATGACTGCAGCAAATGAAGAAAAGTTGATCCAGGTCATATGCATCGATGATGAACACACAAGAACGAGGTATAATCATGATGTCAAAGGGATAATTGTCATTTATGTTATTTTCATCTTTCTTTCGTTCTTTCTACTAATAATTACTATAACTATGAATCTAATTGAATTATAAAGATATCTAATTTAATCATCTGTAATGCCGTAGCGTATTCAATCCTTCTTATTTTTTCTTGTTTTGACATGAAATCATTTTTACAGTTGTGTGACAGGTAATTGCGGACAAAATAATAACAGAGAAAGTAAG